TGAAAACTGCTCTGCCTGTCTTTCCCAGGGCCCATCTGTTCATCCAATCTTGTTTGTTGTTGCTTTTGATGATTTGTTTTTGCAGTGTTGTATGAAGTTGAAGTGTTGGGTTGTTCCTGTCTAGATCCCCGTTTGGCAAGTGTGTCTGCTCTGTCATTTCCAGGTATGTCTGAGTGTCCGGGGACCCACTGTATTACTATCAAAAAAAGGGGGGGGGGGTGTGAATAAAGCAACATATGTCCAGAAAGAAAAACAGAACGACTTCAAGGGTATCTAAAAGTACGCCCCTACGTCCCAGAAAAAGATATTGACGTCACAATATTTGTTATCGGGCAAAAATTCTTTGGCCTAAAATGCACAAGGTGTTGAAAATTATACAAACCTTACAACTTTTTTTCTTGCTGTCTAGCACAAAAATTATTGTTCTTGAATGGCATAATTTAGAACAAACGTAATTCATTCAAGTGGAATTTGTTTGACATAAAATCAACGAAAAAGAAGCTTATTTAAAGAAAGAAAAACCAACCTATAAACGTAAAATGCACTAATTAGCAATCTTGTCAGGGAAGTTATGAAACGATTAGTTTGCTTTAGTGGTTAAAATGACACACACACAGCTTGGAGTGGTTACTAGAGACAGAACTTTTGGAGTTTAAATATCCTGAAACGTGGAAATGGTCTTTGTCACTGAATGAAATATCATCGAAGAAATGTTCATGCTTTTCAAGACGATCGAGGGACCACGAACACATTGTCATCTTTTGACCCATGTCAGTCTCGCTATCATGAACATGGTGCTGTCGTGGGTTAAGATCTACCTTTAGAATGCTGACCGATGAAGCGCAGAAAGGCCCTATAGCTGCAGTCTTCTGGGGGCACACACATCTCATGGGACTCGATTGCTGAATTTTGCATCCTGGTGAAGTTTAAAGTCGGGCGAATAATGTGTATTCGACCTGACGACCTGAAGTGGTCGTTTTGGCTGGACATTTTTATTTCAGATTCTCTAAAGATCAAAACTGATGGGACTTCCTTACCCATGACAAGAACGAAGTTCCTAAGGGCACTTTTGCAATCTTCCCGTACCTTGTGCGAAATTTAAGGAATGTCAGGGTTGATGAGGTGGCGGAGCGGCCATGCTCTCTGCTCTTTACTAAACCTATCATGATCTGCGTGGGCAAAGGAAACTTGAGAAAAACAATATCTGCAAACGTCTGTTGTTTTGTTAAACAGCAGTACAGTTGTAGTATGCTCGATCGTTGTGACGTTTAGTGGTAACCGTAATGCAAACCGGTGCATCATGTAACAGAAAGGGGAGAAATGTTGAAAATATTTTGCTTTGTATGCGCCATGGAGAGAAAAACTATTTCATTAACCTATTTAAAACGATAATCAGCAAAATTCATTTTGACTCTCAAATATTGTGTTCAAATTTGAATTTCAAAGCTTCAGTGTGGAGTGTGGACGAATATATCCAGGGGGCTTTCGTGGCGTAGAGGTTAAAGTGTTGGCCTCTCATTCAAAAGGTCCCGGGTTCGAATCCGGGTAGCGACCGAAAAATTTTCTTCTCTAAACTTGTCTCCTTTTACCTCATTTCCTGCTCTCTAGCAATGTTCTGTCGTCTGCTTTCGTCTCCTCTTTCTGCCCCCACCCCCTCACCTCCTTTG